CTTTGTTTACTCAGAGTTCTCCTGTGCACAATGCCACTGCTACATGCTTTCCCCTTTCCAAGCACACTGGGGGAGGTGACACTGTACCTGCTTTCTCAGGCTGGTGTGTGTATTTACAGCTCACATGGGAGCTCTCCTGTGGAGTTTTCCTCCCACCACCACTTTTACAAGCTTTCCCGCTCCTGGTTGTTGGACACACGCTGCCGCTGCCACCCTCTCTGGCCAGGTTATTTACAGTTTGTTTATTTACGGCTTGTTTATTTACAGTTCTGTGAGGGATTCCCTTCCCCCCCTCTTCAGCACTCAGTGCGTCCCACCCTCTTTGTAACATGTCTTTATTGTTCTTATTGCTTATTCCTAGTTTCTCTTTTTTTCCTGGGTGGGGGGTTGGTCTGTCCAGAGGACTATGCTGATCTGGCCCAGGGTTGTCTGTGGAAGTACAGCATACCCCTTAGCTCACCTTGTCCGCATCTTCCCAAGCCGTCTGGGCATGGGCGACTGGAGGTGGCCCGGCGGCCCTCCTGGTTTCTCTGTTTAATATGAAGTGGAGATTCTCTGCGCTGGCTGGAGGTGTAGAGGGGTCAAAGTTTTGTGTCTTCTCAGTGGCCTTGCCTGCAAGGTGTCTACAGTGTTTCTCCAAGATTTCACTTTAGGAGGCATGCTTTCTGCTTCCTCCCTCTAGCCACCATCTTGGAATCCTCCATCAGTCCTTTTTTATGTTAGGTATTTTAGAGATAGAATCTCATGAACTATTTACTTAGGCTGGCTTCCAACCATGTCCCTCCTGATCTCTGCATCCTAAGTAGCTAGGATTACAGGCATGAGCCACCAGCAACTGGCTCACTGAGGGTCATCTTAAACTCTGCTTGACCCTAGAGGTGTTTGGCTCCAGTAGAGATGGGCTCCCCAAGGGAAACTGGTTTCCCAGTACCTGTGCCAGAACACAATACCTAACTACTTGGCTACCCCCAGCAGCATCCTTCTTGCCATCAGTCCATGACTAAAACATCCTGTTTCCCTGCACCTGTACCAGAACACATGATCTAGTTCCTTGACTACCCCTAGCAACAGACAATGGACAAGTAACAATGGAAAATCCTCCCCTACCCTTTACCAGGTCCTTCCTTTTCTATAAACACTTACAGGGGGCTATAAGTGGCAGTGGGCTCTAGTTTTCTTGCTGGAGACTTCCTCCGCAGGTTTCTTCTGAATAAACTTGTGTTGATGGTGAGGCAACTCTGTCTAACTCTCTATGCTTTTCAGTTCAACATCGTAAATGTTGATGAGAATTTAAATGAGTGCATAGTAAATAGAACTGAAGTTTCTCAAAGTTAAAAATAGAACTACTATATGATCCAGCAAATCTGGTTAGATAGCCAAGGAAATTAAAGCAATACATTGAAGAAATTTCTGCAGTCTCATATTTATTGCAGCATTATTCACAATAGACAAGAAATGTAATCCACTTAAGTATCAATGGATTACTAAAGAAAATGTGGTGTATATATACATAATGCAATTCTATTCAGTAGTAAAAGGAAATCCTACCATTTGCAGCAACTGGATGACCTTGAGAAACTTATACTAAGTAAAATTAATCAGGCATAGAGCTAGTGGAATGATTCAAGTGGTATAGCACCTGACTAGCAAGGGTGATGCCCTGAGTTCTAACCCCAGTTTGAACCAAACTGAGTTGTTTGGTTCAAAACCAGCCAAAAAACAAAACAAAACAAAACAAAAAGATAAATATTGAATGATTCAATTATATGTGGAATCTAAAAAGGTCTAACTCAAGAAATTGTGATTAGCAGAAGATGGTTGTGGAATGTATCAAAGGATATGAAGTTCTGTTTATTTAGGAGAAATAAATTCTGGAGATCTGCTGTATAGCACAGTGATTATTTTAATATTAATGTGTATTTGGAAATTGCTAAGAGAATTTAAATGTTTTCACCAGGAAGAAATGTTAACTATGTGAAGTAATTGATATGTCAATTAGCTTGATTTGATCATCCTATACTGTATCCATATATGACAGTATAAAATTATACCCCATAAATATGCACAAAAAAACCTTCCTTCCATTCTGCTCATGCCAGTTCCATTTAAAAATATTGCCTCTTGACTGGAGTTAATAAATATAAAGCTGCAAATTAAATCCAGAAAGTATGTCTTAAGAGAGTTCCTTCATGCCATCTTTTATTATTTATTTATGTTTTGCAGTATGGGGATTTGAACTCAGGGCCTTGATTGCTAGGCAGGTGCTATACTATACCACTTGAGCCACTTTATCAGCTGTACTTATTTATTGCTTTGTTGTTGTTATTGTTGGCCTTGTTGGGCTTGAGCTATGCCACCAGTCCTATTTATTGCTTTTGTGAGTCTTGCTGTGTAACTCAGGCTGGCCTCAAACTTACCATCCTCTCCTTAGCCTCCTGAATGCTAGGACTTGTTTACGTAGTTTGCTTTTTGATGATAGGGTCTTGCTATGTAGCCCAGGCCTCAAACTCCCAATCTCCTGTCTTAGCCTCCTGAGTGCGGGATTGTAGGTGTGTGTTACCATGCCTGGCCCCTCACAGCATTTTAAACACAACATATTCATCTTTTTCTACCATTCACTTCTCCAGTATTCTCCATTTTAGATAACGGCATCAATAAGTACTAGTGTTAAAATCCTCACTGATTTTTGACTCCTTTATCCTCCGTATCTAAATATAGCATCAACTCAATCAGAATACCTCTTGGTATTTTTTTTCTGTAGAATGACTGGAGTTTGAACTCATGACCTCATGCTTGCTGAGACAAGCACTCTGCCATTTGAGCTACACTCTCAACACTATACTTTCAATTTTTACTGCTTTTATATAATTTATACCTTTACTATCTAGACTCTGGCTCTGAGTCCTAGATACTGTACTAAGTACATCACTATACTCCTTACTGAAACTTAATGTAACTTCACAATCTTTTCAAAACCCTGCAGAGGCAGACACTATAGATCTATCAGCCTGGCACATTTAGTGAAATTGATTTGCCAAATTGATTTCATTTTTTTCACTCTTCCCACTCTATCCAATTATCTCTATGTTACTGGTTAACTTTTTAAACTTACCACCTCCTGAAAACATTGCTTCCTATCTCTAGAATAAAATTTAAAGTTATATATCACTTGACATTTAAAAAGATACAACTTTGATAAACCTGAAACTTACTTTAATGCCTTTAAGTCTTTACCTCATTGTTCTTCCCAGAGAATGAATAATAGTTTGCTAGACTTCCTTGTGTTCAATACCAAGAACTTACTAAAATACAGAAAATTTTTAAGCTTGGGTCACTGTTACACTAATGTCTATTTTCTTCATAGTAAGAGACATATGAAGACAGCATAATGAAACCACCAAAAACTGTTTGAAAGAGGGGAATGGGAATATAATGGAGGGGTAAACTTGTTCAAAGTGCACTGTATGCATGTACGGAACCATCATAATGAAATCCCCTTGAGTCATTAATGTATAATAATTCAAAAATGAAATTTAAGAGATAGCCCAAAGATTATGTGAAGAAAATTTACATTATTAGTAATGATCATACTTACTTTGCTTTTTTTCAATGCAAAACTCAAACTATATTCAGTATAAGGGGTAATTAAGCATATACATAAATTAATAGTCATGTTTTGCCTTTAAAATTTACCTTCAGTATTCAATAGTCTATCAGTGCAAATTTACTAAGTATGGTGCATTGATGCAGTGGTCATAATTAGTGAAAATTGGAATTTGTAACCACTGCTTCAATGATGGATATCAAAAAGGGCTGAAGCAAAATTTAATGATAGTTTCAGAGGTACAACTGAGATCAGGAGTCTAAACCAGGTTATCGACAAAAATATGCCAGATGTCTGTTTCTGTATGGCCTAAACTAAGAATATTTTTTAGACTTTTTTATGTGTGTGGTACTGGGGTTTGAACTCAAGGCTTCATGCTTGCTTAGCAGGCACTCTATTGCTTGAGCCCTATTCGGTGCATAACCCTGAATATGCACCAGGTGGCTCATGCCTGTAATCCTAGCTAGTCAGGACGCAGAGATGAGGAGGAATATGGTTGGAAGCCAGCCGAAGTAAACAGTTCATGAGATTCTATCTCTAAAATACGTAACATAAAAAAGGACTGTGGAGTGGCTCAAGTTGTAGAGAGCGTGCCAAGCAAGCCTGAGCCCTGAGTTCAAATCCCAGTACCACAAAAACAAACAAACAAAAACCCTGAATATGCTATAATCTCTTGATGGATTACAAAGTATTTAGTTTCTGGCCTTACAGAGAGTTTGCCAACTCCAAATCTAAACTATAAGACTTCAGTTTATCCTATAAACTACAGAATAAAATATACATGGAAGAAAATATGAGGTATTTTTAGATGTATGGATATAATTATAAAATACTGCATATAAATAGAAAAAGTAGCTAATTCTTCATTTTTCCTTTCAGCTTAGCTTCAAATAGCAACAAAATCCATTTTTGTGTTTGTTTTTTCTTTCTCAGAAATTGTGGATAAATAAAACAAAAAAAAATCACAATTTTAGAAATAGCCAAATGGGGGCTGGAGCAGCTCAATGGTAGAGTATATGCATACCCCCTGTGAGACCCTGGATTCTTTTCCTAGCACCCCACCCCTAAAAAAAGTTGTCACACACATAGGAAAGCTTGTCAATAACATAAAAAGGCAAAAAACATCTAACAGAATCATAGAATTTTAGAACAGGATTGGACCTTAAAAGTCACCTAGTACAGCCTTCATATGTTAGAAATGGGAAAACCAAGGCCCAGAGTTGCCCAAGGTTGCACAGCTAATTTCCTACAAAGTCAGAATGACAACCCAGGCCTGTGGTTAACAGTGACATTATATCAAGTAGATCAAATGAAAGTGATGTCAATAATACAATATATATTTTTTTCCATTTTAACCTATATGAAAGTTGGAAAAATAGGACACCTGTCACACAACTACAGAAATAAATCCTTTTATTTTATAACATTCCTTTTCTTCTTTAAGTTGCATACAGTACTTGTAAGCCCAAGAATTCTGAGAAAAACTATAGAAGACCTGGCACTATTTTTGAGAATTACACAACTGGGCAGCAAAATAACACCTTTATAAATGTTAGAACATACAGAAATAAAATTTAGTGTTTGCACACAAAAATAGGGAAATTACATTCAACACGTTTTCTTAAATGTGCACTTAAGTGTTTAATGTTTTCTAAAACTTTGGTCATCATGCTTTATTATAACTTATTACATTTCACAATTATGCAGATGATTAAACCTAAAAGGTTAGCAAATATATCACATAAACACATCAGCAACAGCAAACTAATACTGCATAATCATATTAGCAGTCTGATTCAAAAATACATGTGATTCACAAATAGCACACAAAAGTTAATTTGTGATAACATAGTTAATGACTTTTCTTCCACTTCATAAAACAAGGCTGAGTAATGAGACATAGCAGGACATGATTACATAATAAAAAGTATATTTTTAATTACAAATCTAATTGTACACATAGGGCAACAAATTGTAGTTTCTTTAGAATAGTGCAAATAGGCAGGACTTTTCTCAAAAACATTAAAACTGGATTCATTCCATATGCCTCAAGATCTCATGACTTTTAGGTTATATTAATTATAACGGTTTTCTTTGTGATGGATACAAGTGGTAGGGTTGATATAGGACAGATGTGTACTCACAGGCTGCAAATAAAAATAGCCATTGATTTATTTTACTGGATGTGAAGTGCAGGCACTCAAAATGTAACTTTAAAAAGTTTCATTAGTCATCATGTTAACTGTATTGTTTATCATACCATATTTCATCAAGCATTCATAATTCATTTGAAACTGTCATTTCAAGCAATTCCTCTAAAATCTTTTTGATATGTGGTGGTTGAGACGCGGCCTGATTTAATAGATTCTGACCCATCTGTGCAAAAAGTGCTTTTGATAATTTAGCTGTGGCTGTTCGTATATTTCCTCCAGCTCCAGGCAGAGAGCCACTGTTTGTCATGTTCCCTAAGAGATGCCATAAAACAACCAACACTTTCTGCTCTGTGGCATGAGGTTTCCTTTGATAAAGTTCCATAACAATATCTGAAACACAAAATACAGTAAACAGTGAAGATTTTTAAAAATAAATTCAAGGACTGCTAATTGAAAAGTACCTAAACAATACACCAGTCTTCTTCCATATGCCATTTGTCCTAATTGCTAGGCTTCTTAAAAGGACAGAAACCTTCTTTACAAAAATTGGTATCATCAAATGTTTTAATTTCATATAAAAGTCTATGACCATACCACCCTGAATATGCTGGATCTTGTCTGATCTCAGGAACTAAGCAGAGTTGGGCCTGGTTAGTACTTGGATGGGAGAATTTCATACATGACAATTAGTTCAGGCAAAGGTGATAAAGAGAAGAATTCAACCCAAATTTAATGACAACATTTTCCAAATGTGGTTAAATGAAAATGTGTACATTGTGGGCCTGGTGGAATGGCTCAAGAGATGGAGCACATGCCTAGCAAGCGTGTGGCCCTGAGTTCAAAGTGCTGCCAAAACAAATGAGCAAACAAAAACCCCAAAAAACAGTATATATTTTAAATTCATGGATCTTTTATCAAACAAATTTTGAAATAGCATTCTTCTGAAGTTTCAATATTTGATCTGAATGTCTTATTTTATTTTTCCTATACTATTTCTCCTGACAGGATAATTGATCTCTCTCTGTCCCTGTCTCTCTCTTCCTGTTCTCTCTCACTCTCTTCGTCCCTTTCTTTCTTAAAATTTTGTAGTGCTGGAGAGAGTAAACCAGGGCCTTGCATGTGTGGTGCAAATTAAGTTGAAATACCCATCAGTTTATCCTGAGCTAATATTTCTTTAGTAATTACAATTTAACAATATTTACCAGCAAGCTTCTCTGTCATATCTTGTTTTGCTTTTCCATTTAAAAATTGAGCTTTTGTGCAAAATGGCTGTAGAAGTAAGTAATTATCTAAACAAAAGGAAAGAACACAGAGAAATGAGATCTGTTATTTTCCATTACAAAGCATTGAAAGGAAAAACAAATTGTTTCTAGAATGCATATGTGTTAACTTTAAAAAAATCTACATAATCACTGTTTATAAATCTTGATAACCTTCAGAGTAATATTCATACAGCAAATAAATAAAAATAGCTCAGGGCTGGAGGCAAGACTTAAGTGCTAGAGCACTTGTTTAGCAAGCATGAGATCTTGAGTTCAAGTTCAAACCCCAGTATCATCAGAGAAAGAGAGAGAAAGCATTCAAGCAATCTGGGCACCAGTGGCTCACGCCTGCAATCCTAGCTACTTGGGAGGCTAAGATTGAGAAAATTGAGGCTCAAGGGCAGCACAGGCAAATACTTTGTGAACTCCCCATCTCCAAAATAATCAGGGCAAAACAGACTGGAGGTGTGGATCTTCAAGTGATAGAGTGTCTGCTTTGCAAGTACAAAGCCGTGAGTTCAGAGCCCAGTCCCACTAAATAAATACATATATACATAATTTTAAAAAAGAAATACAAAAACCCAAACACTGCCTATCTCCTGGACATCTTATTCCAAATGATAGTACAGGTTTATTATTATTATTATTATTTTTTAAGGGTGGAGAAAGGAAATTTATTACACAGCTCAGGACATGCTATGGGAAGAGGCAAAGTAAACAATTCAGCCCATTTTCAACCATCTTCAGAGTACAGACATGAGCTTTAAATAGACAGGGAATGGGGCAAAGGGTATGCATAAACAGTCGAGCCACAGATGTGTTCCACAGGCGGTGTGGAGCCTGGATGGTCATTATCTCAGTCCTTATTCTTCGAGGGTTCCAGAAAAGTTGTTATTGCTGTCATCACTTGAGAGGAGCAATTTGGTTCCCAAGAGATGATTACTCCTGCTCTAAGGTTCAGCCTCATCATTATAGGTGATTATGCTCATTTGGAGGGTGGTCTGTCCTGCAAGGCTCCACTGTTCCTTAAGGGAAGCTTCAGGCCCTTAAAGATGTTATCCGTCACTCCTGTCCTTCCTTGATTCCAAGGTGACCAGAGGACAACAGGTACAAAATGGAGATAGAGATGTTAAGCTTTTCTCCTGCTTTTAGTTAACTTGTGGGCCCAAGAAAGGAGTCAGTGCATTTTAGCAACAGCATCTTAAGCACCTTTACAACATTACCCTGAGACAGAAGGACCTTTTAATTGCTAATAGTATTCAATGGTATGGATATGCAATGGTTGGATATGGTTTGAGTATGCAGCCTAAAGGTTCAAGTATTAGAAGCTCAGTCTTCACTATGGTATTGTTAAAATGTGGGTTCTAGCAGGAGGACATTACTGGCCTCTCTCAAGTTTCACTTGGGCTTCCTGTTTCATCATGCAGCCTCTGCCTCTCTCATGTGATCCTACCATGATGCCACCCACCACATGATATGCCTTGGGGACCCTTGCCAGAACCATTCCCAAGTTACCTGGACTATGAGCTTCTGAAACCATGAGCTTCATAAACCTCTTTTCTTTATAAATGACCCAGACCGAGGTGTTTTATTATAGTAACAGAATGGATTAATACAGAATGTATCATGGTTTGTTTCACCACTAATCCCTTCAAGAACATCTAGGTAGCTTCCAGTTTTGTAACTATTATAAATAAAGCTGCATGTATGGAAATACCATAATGAACCCCCTAACTTTGTACAATTAATACACACTAATAATTTAAAAATGTGTAAGGCTATGAATAACGTGTGCAGGTTTTGTATGGTCTTAAGCTTTCATTTTGTGGTAATTTCCCACAAATGCAACTGATAGATAAAATGATAACGCATATTTAGTTTTTAAAAATGCTATCAAACTATGCTGGGTGCCAGCCCATAGCTCACGCTTGTAATCATAGCTACTCAGGAGGCAGAAATCAGAAGGATCGTGGTTCAAAGTCAGCCCAGGCAAATAGTTTATGAGACTCTTATCTCACAAAAATCCATCACAAAAAAGGACTGGTGAAGGGGCTCAAGGTGCAGGCCCTGAGTTCAAGTCCCAGTACTGCAAAAACCAAACCAAACCAAAACAGTTTTCTAGAGTGGTTGTACTATTTTATTTACATTCTCACCAGAAATGTATGTGAGACAGTTTCTCTGTACCTTGTGAGCATTTGGTATTTAGCTACTATAATACTTGTTGTCATGATCATCATCTTAATTTGCATTTGTATTTCCCTAATGCAAAATGCTGAACATCTTTTCATGTGCTTATGTAGCACACATATATATCCTCCTCAGTAAAATGCTGCTTCTTCATATCTTTCACCTGTTTTCTGACTCCTTTTTTGTTTTTGGTGGTACTGGGCTGTTGAAATCAGAGTCTCATGCACTCTCTACCACTTAAGTCACACATCTAGCCCTTTTGTTTTTCGTTATTTTTTTCAGATAGGGTTTTATGCTTTTTGCCTGGGCTAGCCTTGGACAGTGATCCTCCTATCTATACTTAGTATAGGCATAAGCCAGCATGCCCAGCCCTAGGATGTTTTATTTTTATGCTGAATTTTCAGATTCTTTATAAATTCTACATGTGAGTTGTCAGATTATGTGGTTTCTCTTAATTTACAGCCCTTTTCTTTATTCACTTAATAAGATCTTCTGCAGAGTAAATTTTATAAATTTCAATTAAGTCTAGTTTATTGATGTCCATGGATCATGCTTTTAGAATCATGCCTAATACTTCACCAAGCTCTAAGGTCCTGAATATTTTCACATTATATTCTAAAAGTATCACTGTCACATTTTTCTGCATTTAAATATATGATCCATTTTAATTTTGTATTAGGTGAGAGGTTAAGGTAGGAAAAATTAAAACTGCCGGGCACAGGTGGTTCACGCCTATAATCTTACCTACTTAGGAGTCAGAGATCAGGAAGATGGCAGTTTGAGGCTAGCTCAGGGCAAATAATTAACGAGACCCTAGCTTGAAAACAAATATCACAGAAAAGGGCTGGTAGAGTGGCTCAAGTGGTAAGAGCACCTACCTAGCAAGTGTGAGGCCCTGAGTGTAAACCACAATGCCATGAGAAAAAAAAGGAAAATGAAAAAATAAGGAAGAGAAAGTCAGTTTAATGGAATAGTGATTACTACTAAAAATAATTTAAAATACTACTGAAAAAAAAGAAAAAATTATACTATTAAATGAAAAAACATGAATAACTTATTTCAGCATTATAAAAAATATGTGGGATCACAAAGTATGAAAGTAAAGTACAAATAATTTAGAGTGAGATTTCTTACCTACGTTCTGACTCAGGGCTTGAACAACATTTGTAGCAGCAGCATAGATGCCTGGATTCTTGGAATTCAGATTGTTATCCACTATTGCTGGAATTAGCATGTTGATTATAGGAGATAAGTTGTCTCTAAGTAAAGGAATCATTTTATGCATTGTTTCTAGAGCCACCAGATTTACTTTACTGTTGGAATCATGAAGTCGAGATTTAAAAGCATCAAAGATCTGAAAGTAAATTGGTAAATTATTTCAAGTAAAACGTTTATAGCTATTATATATAAATTCTCTTGCTATTATTTCATGGCAATTTCCTATTTTATTTTACTATGTCTAAATACACACACACACACACACACACACACACACACACCTTATTTAACCTGAACTTAGATAACAGAAACTTTGTAAAAATTTGCTTGCTAAATTTAAATGCTGACTTATCTTACAGGAAAAAAAAACAGGGCTTCAAAAATCATTCCAAAAGACATCCTTAAAAATTAATATCATAAATGAGGCAGATAACTTAGTGTAAACAAGATGAATATTCTGTTCCTTGGAAAGTTGTAGCTTAGCTTAGCTAACTTCAAGAGCTTAAGAAAAGTTTTCATTTTTTGTAACTATTCAATAGAAGGAGACATGGATGCTTTATGGTAAATACAACTTCAGAACTCGTGCTCGTGGAGTATCTCAAGTGGTAAGGATGCCTGTCCGTGAAGTATGAGATCTTAAATTTAAAACCCCAGTACCACAATAAAAAAAACAAACATAATTTCAGTTTAGGTTTGTTGTGACAACTTTGGATGCAATTTCAGAGTTACCTTTTTTTCCTACCATGCTATAACCATCAAACTCAGGGCCTTAAGCATGCTAGGTAAGTGCTCTACCACTGAGCTTTATCTCTAGCTCCTCAAAGTTAAATTTTTATTACCTAGTAATTTGATTACTTCTTGTTCTTCAGATTCCTTAACTTTCATAAACTGAAGACATAAAGTGAATGCTAAAAAAATTCTTTAATCCTGTCAGGGCAATGAGGGGCTACTCTAATGAGCCTATGACATTAATAATTCCTGATATTTATTTATTCACTACTTTCATGTTAAGAACCGTCTAACCAAGAGATTTACATTTATTCAACACATACCAGTAAACAGCTCACTGGCTTAAAAAGTAACTACGGTATGTTTGCCAAGTTTAACACACAGTATGCCAATCTAAAATGGAGTTTATTTAATAAATTACTAATAGAATTAACTGAACTAAATTCTGATACAGCATAAATAACCTATGATCTGATATCACACTTAATATTTCCATTTCTTTTGCTTTTTGTCTTCTTAAAGATAAATGTATAAATGAGTATATAGATTTCTAACCTACATATGAAAAATTTCAATATCTATTCTAAAGCAATAATCTTTTTAAAAAATTTTTATTGTTTTATTATTCATATGTAAGCAATAATCTCTTAAATCTCCATTTTTAAAACATCTATTTACTGAATGCCAGGTTTCAAGAGCCCTGAATACAGAGAGCTATCAAGGAGGACTCAGACAAATACATGACTTTTTTTTTTGCAATTACTTTGAGTTGTTCCAGTATGCTTTCAACATAGCCAAATCTAGGCAATCCATTCTTTTCCCTGAGCTTATTTCAATACTTAAAAAAAATTTTTATTAATTTTTTTGGCAGTACCAAGAGTTGAATTCAGGGCCTTGAACTTGCTAAGTGGGTGCTCTACCAGTTAAGTCTCTCTGCCAGCCCTTTTTTGCTTTTCTTTCTTTTTTTTTTGTTATGGTTCTGGAGTTTGAACTGAGGGCCTCATGTTTGCTAGGCAAGTGCTCTACCACTTGAGCCACTCCACCAACCCTGTTTGGTGTTGGGTGTTTTTAATAGGGTGTTGAAACTATTTGCCTGGGCTGGCTTCAAACAGTGATCCTCCTGATCTCTGCCTCCCAAGTAGCTACGATTACAGGCGTGAGCCATGGGCACCTGGCTTGGTTATTTTTGAGATTAGGGTCTCAGTCTATGCCCAGGCCGGCCTGGACCGTGATCTTCCTATTTGGGCTTCCATGCCTGGCTGGGATAATAGGTACATGCCACCACACCCGACATTTTAACAATTTAAAATAATTCATACAAAATATTAAGTTTCAGGGAATTTTTTGTATTAATCAACTTTCTTACTGACCAAATATTTCAAACGAAAATTAATTATGACAGGTCCTTACCTTCACAATGTTCCCAACGACAAGTTCTTGATTATTTTCAGTATCTGATAGAAGCTGCTTAATCCCATTAATACGATCACGAAAGTCTTTTGCATTTAATAAACCTGTTATGACTTTAATGTATTCAGCACTTTCTAAGGAATTACGAGGAGTTGATTTTCTGGGAACTTCACGAGCTTCCATTACCTCTCTAATGTGAAAGAAAGATAAATTTAATTTTAGTTTTATTTTCCTACAAAATTACAAATTTTAAAAAGTCTCATTGTAAATTAATTTAAAAAAATCATGAAATAATCTATCTCACAACCATAGTTACCTGAGTTAGGGATCCCCAAGATCTCCCTTAGGTTTGGTGACTTGCTGGGAGGACTCATGGGAGTTAGCGTAGTTTTACTCATTGCTAAGAATTAGTATAGCAAGACATCAAAAAAAAAAAAAAAATCAGTAGGGGGTGTGCACATGAATCCTTGTCCAGAGGAAATCAAATGTAAAATTTCAAGAGTCCTTTCCTAGTGAAGTCACATAGGACACATCTAATTCCTTCAGCAATGAATATGACAACATATATGAAGTTTCATAGGAAGCTTATTAATGTCTCTGTTCCAGGGTTTTTATTGGGGCTGGCCACCTGGGTACTGTTTGCCTAGGACATAATATTCCAGACCCCTAGGAAGCATGAATTTAATATAAGCCATTTTATTTTCCCAAATAATTTAGGCACAGTAACAATCTAATCATTCAGGGACTGGTAGGAACATTGAATTCTATCTAGCCAAGGAGTAACCTTATGGGAAGGTCTTTTTAAGGATAGCAGCTCAGGACTATTATATCTTTTTTTTTTTTGGCAGCACTGGTGATTGAACTTGGGGCCTCATGCTTGCTAGGCAGGTGCTCTACCACTTGAGCTACTCCACCAGCCCTGTTTTGTACTTTTTTTTTTGAGATAGGGTCTTGTGAAGTATTTGCCTGGTCTGGCTTCTAACTGTGATCCTCCTGATCTCTGCCTCCTGAGTAGCTAGGATCACAGGCATGAGCCACTGGCACCTGGCTTATAACTTTTAATAGGTCCTGGCCCTTTGACCCTTAACTTGAACCTCTTTCCTAACATTATGCTACATGGAAGATTAAGTGAGCCATTTCTATCCCTGTTAGAGAACAGTCTGAACACGCTAAAATCCAATCTGGTAATCAGATGCCAACCAACAACAGATCTCTCTAAGCAGACTCTTCTAAGGATGGCAGTCTCAGACTTGCTGTGTTAACTACTTCCTGCAAAGTATCCAAGTGAACATGCATAGAAAAGTGAGAAACTTGAGACCAGCAGGGCTTACTATGGCAATGACTTAGTAGTATAATGTCTTTCATGACTATGACTCAATATGGCACACCATGATCCCTTTAAAACTAGAGTCATGTAAATTGTCAGGCCTTAAAGACAATGATAAAAATTGTAAGCTACCAACATGTCTGTGATTGTTATTATTAAAATTAGCATTGAGACTGTCTTAAGGGCAATGACTGATGAATGACTCAAGTAGAGAGGGATCTAAAATACAGTTACTAGATGTATTTATTATTAGTTTTAATTTGTTAAAGTAAATTAATCTGGAGTTAATTTGTGAAATACAATGAGAAAAGTAGAGAATTAAATTTATAGTTGAGGACCATATGATACATCAAAGGTCAATAAATGAAAAGAGCAAAACAGAAAAACACCTCAAGAAGCCACCTAATCATTGATGCTGATCTCGAAGATGGCTATTTTGCTTTAAAACTGCATGGGAACAGGGAGTCAATGCAAATGAGATTTTTTTTGAGGGGGGAGGAGGAGGGTGATGAAAACATTCTAAAATTGATCGTAATGATAGTTGTACAACTCACTGAATGTATTAAAAACATTGAATTGCATGCCTTAAATAGCTGAATTATATGATATGTGAATTACAACTCCATAATACTATAATTTGAAAAAAGACACAACATGCAAATACTATCAAAAGAAAATGGTTAATATCAGACAAAGTAGACTTCAAGACAAGGAATATTATCAGAGATAGAGATAGTTCAAGACAAAAGGGTGAATTCATCAAAAAGTCACAACCATCCTGTGTCTACCTAAACTCTAAGCACATTGCAGAAGCAAAAGTGATAGAACTGAAAGTATAAGCAAACGAATTCACAAATATATATGGATATGTCAATACTCTTACCTTAGCAATTGACAGAACATGAAGAAAATCAGTGAGGATATAAAAGACTTGACTAACATAATTAACTGACATTTTATAGAATACTACATCCAATGAGAGCAGAATACATAGTCTTTTAGGTAGGCATAAAATAATCACTAAGAGAAACCCACATGTTGGATAATAAAACAAGTCTTGACAAATTTAAAGAAGTAAAATAGGGCTGGAGTGTAGCTCAGAGGTAAAGAGTTTGTCCAGCACATTGAAGCCTTGTGTTTGATTACCAACATCATAAAACAAAAGGAACAATAATACAAAATCATCTGGAGCTTGTTCAATTATACAATAGAACTAAATTCAAATTCATTAACAAAGATATTTGAAAAATTTCCAAATGTTTGGAGATTAAGCACACTTCTGAATAGCAGCTGTATTAAAGAAAAGTCAGTGATATTATTCCAACACAAAAACCAAGGGCATTCTAAGACAAACTACAGATTTCATGAATACAGACACAAAAAATACTGAAATAATTTTAGTAAATCAGATGAAGTGAAAAATTAAAAATATAACACATGATCATGATCAAGTGGGGCTCATCTAAGGAGTATGTCTATTTTTTTCTTTTTTGGGTGTTAAGGATTGAACCCAGAGCCCCATTCACCCCTGCCCACAAACCCACAATGTTTATCTTCTTAAACATTTGGACAGGAAATCAATGACCATATATCACAATATTAACAGAGAAAGCCTCTGACAAAATTTAATACCCACTCATGATAAAAACAAACAAACTTGTAAGCTACAGAGAGGGAACTTCATCAACCCACTGAAAGGCTTCTATGAAGACTACAGCTAGCATCATATGGATGGTGAAATACTGAACATTTTTCTTATAAGATTAGAAATAATGTAAAAATTAAATGCTCTTATTATGCCTGTTCAAAACTGTATTTATTATTCTAACCAGAGAAGTAAAAGAGAAAAATGAAAGTAGAAGCATAAAGATTGAAAGGAAAAAATAAAATATAAGCTGATCCTGAAGAATCTTATAATTTTTTGTTGTTCTTGAGACTGACTGGGATTTTAAACTCAGGGCTTTACACTTGCTAGGCAGATGCTCTGCCACTTGAGCCACTCCACCAGTCCCTGAAGAATCTTATGATGGCAGAATGGAAATGTTTTGTCAAAGGATGGAGCAAGTCAAAAAAGCACAACAGCCAATCTGAGGGAACTCCTATAGCTGGAAAAATCTGAAGAAATGAGTAACAATATTTATCAAATTAAAGCCCACATAATAAAATAGAAATCCATTAGTTTGCACTAACATAAATATTTGAATAAACGTGTGGAAGAAAAGGGACATTTTTCTTTACAGAAAAAATTCAACTAATAAATGTAGAAGAAATGAGGGAAGTAACAGTATTAGGCAAAAAACTCACATAATAACTGTGGTAGGTAGTGTCTATACCAATTGTTGCTAAAATTAGTAGGCTAAACAGTGAAAAATAGCATATTTATGTTGTTTCAAAGTATCCCAAGATATCTATTAATGACAAAGGTAAAAAATAGTAATTTTATAGTTAATAAATCCAGCCAAAACCACCTTAACCTACTGATTAAGCAATAATAATAAGCCAGGTGCAGTGACATATGCCTATAGTCACACTTTTTGAGAGGCTAAGGCAGAAGGATCACTCAAGCCCAGGAGTTCGAGACCAGTTTGGATAACATAATGACCCCATCTTTAATAAAAGGTATGAAGACACAACAACAAAATGTAGATATGATGCACTGAAAAGCATTCAATACCACTTCTGTGGAATTCTTGCAAAAAATATGTAACCTCAAACTAATTGTGAGAAAAATATCAGATAAACTGAAATTGAAAGACATTGATGAAATGAGTTAACTGAGCAGTAAAGTGTTTAGAAAAGGCCCAGCACACAATCAAAGAAACTCAAACGTCAAAGAAACAATTTCTTTTTTAAAAGTCTTTCTAAGCTGTCCAGGCTGGCCTTGAACTCATAATCTTCTGCTTCAGGAGCTGGGATTAGGAAAGTATGCTACCATGCCCCGCTGAAAAAAGGCATTTAAAAAAATGAGTTTCAAAAAAGAATTTTTCATTTTCAAAAAAAGGATTTTGACCAAAATATCTGATCCAGGATCTTGTGTGATTATAAACATCTGAACGTGGAAAATTGCAGATTATGATTATCTGGGTCTTGTAGGAGAACAAGATTTGCATTTCTAATAAGATACTAGGTGAGAACAATGTGTCTGTTCTGTGGACTGTTTTCAATGGAAGGTTTCAAAGCATGTAGGTATATTCACAAAGGTTTTAATTAAATTTTTTGGCAGCATTGGGGTGTGAACTCTGGGTTTTGTACTTACTAGGCAAATACTCTACAACTTGAGCTACCCTCTGGCCCTTTTGGCTTTTAGGTTGTTTTTTAGATAAGGTCTTGTATTTTTGCCTGGAACTGACCTGGACTGTGATCCTCCTTCCTCCAGCTTCTGGTGTAGCTATGATCTGGCTTGTTGGTTGATATGTGGTCTCACTGTTTGCCTGGGCTGGCCTTGAACCGTAATCCTCCCAATCTCTGCCTCCTACATTAGTAATATTGTGTGTGTGTGTGTGACATGCTGGGGATTAAACCCAAGACTGTTGTTCATGCTAAGCAGGCACCCTCACTAAGCTACACTACCAGCTTAAGATTTGAATATTTTATAAAATTTATCTTAGTGTATGAACTATTTCAAAGATACACAATCAGAGAAAATATGAAAGATACGTATGTACCTATTCATATAGTTTTAAAGTATCTAAAGAATACTTTAAAATATACCACAAAAGTCATGCTTTTGAAAAAAATTTTTTATTTATACAATCAGTATATTAAAGCTGTTAAATAATAAAAATATTACAAAACTGCATATATAGTAATAATTATAAAAAAAATTTAGAATGTTTTTTCCCCTGGTTGTTGGTATTTAAATGACTGGTTAAATTCTTCTTTTAATGTTCATATTTTAAAATGTTTTTTTCTTTAACTATAGTTATGTATTTTGTAATGACAAGGAAGAAGTTAAAAATTTATGAAAATTAATCAGAGTTGTCTAACATAAGTCTAATTACTGACAAATTCAGTAACACAAAAGCTTCACTAATGTACATGTAAAAGCAAGTTGCTGGGAACATGTAATTGTTTTTTTTTTGCAGTACTGGAGCTTGAACTCAGTCACTTGAACAACTCTGTTTTGTGTTGGGTGCTTTCGAGGTAGGGTCTTGAGAATTATTTGCCCAGGCTAGCTTCAAACCACGATCCTCCTGATCTTTGCCTCCGAAGTAGCTAGGATTACAGGTGTGTGCTACCAGCTTTTGGCCTGTAATTGCTGCATTAAATCTAATTACCTCACTCTTTCTAAGTCCTTATCAAACTCTTAAAACCCCATTAAATTTTGACAAACATCCCTAGGATGCTTCATGAGAACATCCAAATGAGAGTACTATAGCTAGTGATTAATTTCTCTAATGGTGTGGACTACCAGATGATCTTACCTTTCAGATGAATTGAAAGCATCTCTAGAAACAGACGATGCTCTTGTATTTCCAACACTACCAGTATGAGATCTCCTTCCTTTTGCTGAAGGAGTGTCTAGTGGCAACTCTCCTAAACCCTGTGAGTATAACAAAGACAGTGTGAGAAAAATCTTAAACCAGTAGTAAAATGACTTACACAATAAAAGCAGCTGTGATAAAATATATTGAGCTTTTAATAAACTGATATACTTATGCCTTAAAGGGTAATAAAATACCTTATGATGAGTAATAAATTCACAAATATGTGACTAATAGGAAGATCCCGACAGAGCAATATAAAAATATGCTATATTTTATAATTACTTTCTTCCTCTCTCCCTCTTCTTCTCTTTCTCTCTTCCCTCCCTTCCTCCCTTCTTGCCTCCCTCTATCCATCTACCTCTTTTTCCCCATTCCCCTCTTTCCCTTCCCTTCTCTCCATTTCTCCTCAAACCCAGGGCCTTACACATGCTAGGCAAGTGCTCTACCATTTAGCTACATACCCAGCCCCATAACTACTCTTCTTAAAGCTTAAAATCTATACAGAAAACATAAATGCATTCCATAAGCAATAAACTTCTATGTGACAATTAGGAGTGTGAGAGCAAACGTGGATAAGAACTATTTAAAACATTTTTTTCCCATTGACAGTTATACTGGAAATGACTCACAAATATCTTTCTCATTTTAGTCAGATAATTTTTTGCACACTTATTTTATGAGTAAAGCTGAACTATTCAAGGTCAATAGGCAGAAAAAATGCTCTAAAATGTCTATTACCATACATCTTTCTAATTTTATACCAACATAAATGAGTCCTTAGCCTAAGGTCATCAAAAAGAAATGACATAAATTACAACAGAAAAGTTCACAATTACATTAAACATATTTTTCAAAAAACAAATATGTAAATGGATTATTTTTCACATTCTTTACACTTGGTATTCCCTCAGTCACTCATTTCATAGATATCACTGAATCCCCATTAACCACAGGACCCATCGTGCCATCTTCAAGGAGCTTCCCACAAATGTTCTGTGATGTAGTAGAAAACCTAAGGTGAAAGATACAAGGTAGAAAAAGCAGGGACCAAGTATGATAAACATTACTATCCTCATTTTCTAAAAATAAAAATGTTAAAGAAATGAAGTGGTATACTTAAGATCACATAATTGTTAATTGTTGAGTTGGGATTCAAATGAAGTCTTGTAATTCCAATAGTCCAAACCATATTTTATCAAATAAAATATGCTTTAAAAAAATAAGCATTTACTTTTAACCCTAACAATATGTATGTCTACTTATTATTGCAGTTGTTGAAATGCTAGTGTAGATCTTTTCAAATATTTAGCAGAGAAATAACCCAAGAAGAAATTATTTCTATTCTTTACCTTCATTGGAAAATAAAACTTTATTTTTAAAGTTGTTTGTAAAACAAACTTTGGCCACATACCTTTTGCTGTAAGTTTTTAACAGATTCCTTAATATATGGCAAATCTTTAGATGGGACATACTTTTCAAGCATTTTTTCGAAATTAGGATGACACATCATGAAGAAAAGCAATTTTCGACCATAATACCTATAGATAGTTGAGAAATATGTAAATAATATACATTAAAAAGCTCAGATTCTGTTCTTAGATGCATTTTTTTCTCAACAGAAAAAAACTGTAACATTAAAATTAGCATCCCTATTTTAAGAAAGCCACAGAAATGTGGATACACTAAACGTACAAGAGTGTAAGATTGTCCTGTTCTTCCATTTTCTTCCTTTTGAAATCACGATAGCTTAAATTTTTCAGCCATGTGTCAGGTGTAGGACAGGAAGGTTTAACTATTTGCCAAGCACCTAGAGGTTGGCATTTGGCAGAATTGTGAGTTAGAAGATAGTTATCTTTGTGTTGGGATCCTTGTCCATTGATCTTTTGCTACTCACTTGATGGCTAGATGTTTGGCCTGAGCTTGCCTCCCTGTGTTCTGTATTTGACTTCCTCACTTCCTCACTTTTCTTCCTTAGCTAAAGTTTATCTGGGGGGGGGTTCCATTACTTCAAAATCCTGTTCTCTTCTACTTAAAATATATTCAAGGTTAGATGATAAATTATGGTTGACATGTTATTAAGTTATGAAATAATCTCCAAACCAGGAGTCTTATGTTACATGAACCTAAGAATAATCCTCTTAGGGTAACACCTGAAGAGAAAATATCACTCTATTGGTGGAACTTCAGGTAACATGGAAGTGTATATTAGAAATATTTTAGGAAAGGGATGTCTTATTTACCATCTCACAATAATACCATTATTTTTCTTCAAGTACACCTAGCCCTAAAATAAATTACAGTTATACTTTTGCTTCCAACTTGGAATATGTGGGATTAGAAAAATGAGAAGCTAGGCTTTCATGGGTGCAAAGTACAGGGTGATCTTAGGATCATCTATATTAAGATCTCCTCAAATGTTATGAAGCTGAAGGAAGAGTAGTTACATCAGAGCATAAGCATTAGCTTTCCCACAACCAGAATAAGGTCTACAACTATTCAGATAACTAACTACTAATTAGTCATAGTTTCAAGGACAATTCTAATTTTTAGCCTAGAATATTAAGGGCTGTAGATTTACCATAGGGCCCAAAAATATGGGTAAGACTAAAATAAGCAATAATGGGGCACAAAACATTAAAGCTCAAAAAATTAGTATTAACCATTTTATAATTTTAAAACTTTAAATAAGAGTCTAACAAATGATAAAATGGATTAGAAGAATTACTATTGCCATTAAAGAAATGTTTAGTATGGGTATAGTTCAGTGGTAAAAGTGTTTGCCTAGCACATGCAAGGCAAGCATGTAGGTTTGATCCAACATAGCAAAAACAAACAAAAAAAACAAACCAACAAAAACTCCAGGTGTTAGTAAAGAAGCACATAAAATAAACATTAAGAATCTTTTTATTGATGAGGTATTTACTACCCTATGGTTAGTATGAAAAAGCAAGAGAAAAAAATATATGTGTTTACCAGTCTATAGTCTGTGAAGATTTGTGCACGTAGTGCTGAGTTTGAACTCAGGATCTTGTGTTTGCTAGGTGGCATTTGACAGGCAGGCGCTCTGCCATTTAAAAGCCCAGCCCTTTTTTGCTTTAGTTATTTTTTGAATAGGGTCTCATGTTTTTACCCAGCCTGGATGGGACCCTGTTCTCATATTTATGCTTACCATGTAGCTGGGATGACAGGTACATGACACCACACCTAGCTTTTTTGTTGGTTTAGATGGGAGTCTTGCTAACTTTTTGCCTCTGTTGGCCTTGAACCATGATCTTCCCAATTTCTGCCTCCTGAGTAGTTGGGATTACAAATATAAGGCACTGTGCCTAGCACAAGATGTTTGCATTAGACAGGCAGATGACAGATAGATAGATAGATAAATAGATACCTGTTAACCTTGTATAATAATGAGGTACTTCGAATACTATGTAAGTAAGCAGTGAGTTTTGAGGGATTTTTGCTTCAGTGATACCAGTGCATTAGTTTTTCATGTTGACTAAATAGAAAGAGCTATTTGTCAGGGGGATATAGTATAATTTATAAAATCTAGTAAGTTTGGTGGGGCATTATGACTGACAAAGACAGGATAATTCAGGAGAAACAGAGAAAGACAAAGGATTTTAAAAGAGTCATAGCAATATTTCTACTTTCAAAAAAATCTCAAAAATCAAGAAAATAAAATTCAGCAGCATGGAGAAGGTAACAGGCAACAGAATGTTAGGAGTCACTTTGATGTCTCTACTTGCTTCTTCTGAGTAAAGAGTAGTCCAAATTAGGATATTCACTTCAATATAAAACAGAATGAGTCAAACTGGTATTGAAACATCAATTTTCACAATAAGATAGCAACAACTGGACTTAAATACCGACAAATAGTTAAGGCTCCCTTTATGAAACAAATACCTGAAATTAGTAAAGTTTAGATAAAAAATTGGCATTGCTCTATACTCAACAATTTGTCTACAAGTATTATTGAATAAGTATTTTTATGATGAATCAACAAAGCACAGATAAATACTATTGTTATTGGTTGTTATCTATGCCTTTTTATGTCTTATCACCTATATACAACATTATTTTTAAACTTTACTATTTGCCTATTACAGGAATAATAAAATCCTTGAAGAGGAATTATATTTATAGAGAATACCGCTTCCTTACATTAGATATGTTAGGTAGTTATTTTTGTTAATGATTAGCCAATTAATACCTATTTGAGAGATTGATTTTTTTCTTTCATTATATATTACCTAGATGTCTGATATGTTGTTATTATATAATGTCTTCTATACAAAGGGTAATACTGCTTTCAACTAATAATAAAATTTCTATGGCTAACATTAAAAAAAAAAAAAAAGAATCTCATTCTTAACTAGTCTATGATTTAACTTCCCTGAATTTGTTTGTTTGAGATGGAGTCTCATTATGTAGCCTAGGTTGGCCTGGAGCTTGCTATGTAGTTCAGGCTGACCTTGAACTAGAGATCCTTCTGCCTCTGTTTTATGAGTGCTGGGATTAAAGATGCCCATATCATAACTTGGCTCTCTTGAACTTTTTTGAACATTGACATGAAGAACTTCTTAATACAGTTCACCGAAGATGTAAAAATTCCCTGGAATTTGGGAATATTACTCCCTGATGGGTCTAATCAACAGCCCTTAGAAGCAGAAAGGAAGTCAGAATGATTCTGTGGATGAGGGGTTTTCAATTTGCTCTTGATAGCTTGAAGATGGAAGAGAGTAGAGGGAGAAGGAATGCAGGTGGCCTTGAGCTGAGATAGGACCCTTGTTGACAGCCAGCAAGAAAATAGGAACCTTAGTCCTATAACCACATGAAATTGAATTTGGTCAGCAACTTGAATAGGGAATTCTTCCATAGAGAAGAAGGTTCAACTCTGTCATCACTTTGACTTTGATCTTGTGGGACCTTAAGCAGGGAACTCATTGAGTCATGCCAGAGGACTGATCTAAGCTAAATAATTTATGTTGCCGTAAACTGCTACATTTGTTATAATTTCTTACACAGCAATAGGAAATGTATTTATTTTCTGTATTAGCTTTTGGTGTATGACAAGATTAACTCAGTTACCTAAAGTAATGGACATCATCTTTGTCTTAAAATGTTAAAAAAAAAAATTTACAATCCTCTTTCATCTTTGTGAACTCAGGATCTTCTCTCCTCTTTTTAAATTATTTTTGTATATTATTACTATAAAATTTTAGTTTTTGTACAGAGCATTACTGCTCACCTGGTCCAACCTTCCTAATTTTTACAAACAAGAAAACAGATTAACAAAATGAAGTGACTTGCTTAAGGACAAACAGTGATATACAGTAGGAATTTAGCTTAGATTTCTGGCTAAATCCATAATTTCTGTTACTACCACAAGTATTAGGGCATCCACATCCTAACTATTTTTCTATCTTTTGCTTCTTGATATTAACCTCATAAAACTGTCCTTAAGGTTATAATCATCAAATATTCATAGCATTTTCTAAATACAAATAATTCATTTTCCAGGGGATAATATGTTATTATGCATTTTTTTTGGTGAGACTGGGGTTTGAACTTAGGGCTTCATGCTTGGAAAGCAGGTGCTCTACCACTTAAGCTATACTTTTAGTCCATTTTGCTCTGGTTATTTTTGGAGGTGGGGGGGTCTCATGAACTATTTGCCTGGGTGGGCCTAGAACTGCAATCCTCCTGATCTGAACCTTCCAGGTAGCTAGGATTATAGGTGTGAGCCACTGGCACCCAGCCATATTTTTCATGTGTACCTATATTTCCTTCATTTTAAAATCTAATTGTGTGGGAAAATATTTTCTCCTAGATGTATGACCTTACATTTGCCCACAATGAAGTTCTGCCACTTTTCTGTCCACTCATACAGTCTTGCGTTACTTTCATTAAGTTCATCCCTATAACTCGGCATCTCACTACCCAGAAGTATATAGTGACAGCTGCAAATTTGGACAATTCACTGTGCAGCTCCTCTAGATCATTTATAAACTTTTAAATAAGATAATTCCCCTGCAATAATCCTAGGAACCCCATTTCTCCATTTAGAAAACTGTCCATTCTCTTTTAATCTTTGTAACCAACTTTTAAGCCCTTGTGTTAACAGACTTTGCAAGCCATTCACCTGGTTTCTTGGGAGCTATCTTGAGCAAATTTAGCTGCAGCTGGTAATAAACGTTCAGCCATATCCTTTGTTCCAGATAAAATACGATCTGGTTCCATAAATTCTACTACATCTGATAAGTGCTGGGCTGTACATCTTCTTACTGCAATATGTAAATGGCTACAAGAGAATATAACCAATTAACACTAAGCTGATGTATGAAGCATTTTGCAAAGATCTATCTTAAAGTTAAATGATTAAAAAGCTCCTTAGCAGTCACCCTGGGAGGCACAAATGACAAATTATTTGTATAAATTATTCCTCCCCAAGAAGTTAACAAAACTTATAATCATTAACATTTAGTTCCAGATCTATGAATGAATGTAGGCAATATTATTAGAATAACAATATTATGATTTTTTTTTTTTTGGTGGTACTGGCGTTTGAACTCCAAGCCTCATGCTTTCCAGGCAGGCATTCTATGTCCTGAGCCATTCTACTAGCCTGAGTTTTTATGCTTTACATATTAACAGGATTTTTAGAAAGTAGGAATTATTTAAGGTTTTATGTCTGAAAACAAACAAACAAACTGAAATTTGCTTTCTTCATCATACCTAGCACTGTAAACAAGTTCATTTTTAATTTAAGGACATTTCAGGATTATTTTGAATATTACCTTTGTCCTCCATTGATAAGAGAAATGACTGCACGGGCAGGAGTTACATTATTAACCATGGCTCTCAGTGCCTTGTCAACATCTTCTCTTATAAAGGTATTTGATTCTCCAGCCTTGTGTAACAAAACTTTTACTGTAGTATCTAGATCTTGATCCATGCTCTTTTTTAGGTAAGTGAAAAGATCACTTAAACAGACTACAGCAGCACGAGAGACTCCAGAGCGTAAATTTTTAACCTAAAACAATTTTTTCAAAACATGTATTTTACTGAAATCAGTATTAAAGACTGTATTAAAGACTTTGAAATGAGTTCCAGTATCATAGTGACATATTTGTGCTATCTTATGTCCTAAATATCAACCCCTAATAAATTTTTTAAAATTTATTAGGCTGTAGCCAAATTAAGACAGGAGCTATTTCACACAGAAGTGTAGTAATATCAGATAGTACAGAGTTGTTTAAAAATGTAAAGGTCAACAAGAAAAAGAATAACAAAAACGTATATAAAAGAGTACTTTAAGAGTAAGGAGGAAAAGGGTGGAAGTCTACCATTAACATTAAATGCAAAATTGTAAAATAATATTTGAAGCTAGACTGAAAGGTTAAATATATGCATTATAAGTGCTACAGCAAGAACATAAAGTAAAAGGTACATCAGTATAATAGGCCAGAAAAGACAAAAAAAAAAAAAAAACCCCACAAAAATTTAAAAGTTAAATACCTATAAATACTTAAATACTTATTGGGTAAATACATTTACCTCTTGAACTACTGCAAAATTTGTTTCATGCAACTTTGTATTCAATATTTCAGAATGAAAAGCAGCTAAGCATCTAATCAAATTCAGTCCTTCAATTTTCTTCTCCCTATGGAAAGAAGAAATGACACAATGAAACCAGATGGAACTCAGATATGCAAGAAAGCATGAAGAACAATGGAAATGGTAAGTGCATAACACACTAAGCTTTTTCTTTAAGAAATTTAACTATTGGAATTGGGGATGTACCTCAGGGGTAGAGCTCTTGCCTAGCACAAGCAAGGCCCTGGGTTTGATCATCAGCACTGCAAAAAAAAAATAAAAAAATAAATATTGCAAGAGAAATTTAGGACAAGATATTGTGGAGTTCAAAACACAAGTACAAGAGTACATTAAGAGTTAAAGAGGACGGGGTGGAAGTCTACTATTACCATTAAATGCAAAACAATATTTGAAGCTAGACTGAAAGGTTAAATAGATGCATTATAAATGCTACGGCAGAAACATAAAGTAAAAGGTACAACAGTATAAATAGGCCAGAAAACACACAATGAAATAAGTAATGAATATGCAACTAATTTGAGAGAAAACAAAGAAGAAAAAAAAGAACATACAGGACAAATAAAATATGGAGCATCTAAGAATAAAAACTTGTGGGGCATCAAGGAGCACTGTCACTGGAGTAAGAAGACCAGTGACAAAATAGAAAGAAATTTGAAAAACACATACCTGATAAGGAATTAGTATCTAGAATATATAGAGAATTCCTAAAACTCAACAACAGAAAAATAATCATCCCAATTCAAAATGGGCAAAGATTTGTATAGATATTTGCTCAAAGAAGATACAAAAATGGCCAATAAACATATGAAGATGTTTAACTTCACTATTCATTAGGGAAATGCAAATAAAAAACATGATGAAATACTATTCCACACCCAGACTGAAACTGCTGTTATAAACAGCCAAAATAAAAGTAGAACAGCACAAGTGTTAAAAAGGACACGGAGCTGGCTGGGCGTGATAGTACATACTTGTAATGTCAGCACTTGGAAGGCTGAGACAGGAGGATCATTGAGTTCCAGCTTAGGCTGGTTTATACAGGAAGATCATCTCAAAAAAAAAAAAAAAAAAAAAAAAACAAGAAAGAGAAGAGGACAGGAGAGGAGAAAACATGGAGAAACTGGAATCCCCTGTGTCCTGCTGGTGGGGAAGAAAATGGTGCTGCCACTACAGAAAACAGTATGGCAATTCCTCAAATAATTAAAAACATAATACCATTTAATCTAGTAATCTACCTTTGGGTGAGTACCCAAAAAACCTGAAAGTAGGGTGTAGGAAGCAGATCATGAGAAGCCTATGAGAACTTGACATAAGCACAGTTGTGCTCAATGATCTACAGGCTGAGTTTGGCATGGCCCCAGCCACAGAAGATAGTCAGAGGCAAAATGCAGCACAGGTGCTTTTCCTAAGTTATTTAAGTTTAGAGAAGCAGAGAGCAGGTTTCTCTTGTTACAGTGTGACACCCCTCTCCCAGAACTGTTGCTCCACCTCCTTGTTTACCACTGGATATAAAAGACTTCCTGAAGGAGGACATGGGGGTTTTTGACTGAACGTTTTTTTAATGATAGATTTTGATTGGCTGCTGCTGCCACTGCTGCTGGCTGTTGTGGCTCCACCAGAACAGATTTCTGCACCGAGAACTTTATACACAGGCTTTAGAAAAGCTAAGCTGAAGAAAAGCTAAAGAGAACATGGGACAGTGTAAGTCTAAGGACCTGGACTGTAAGAGTTATGCTAATGCAGTTTTTAGATGTGGCTGCCGTTGTTTGTCTGCAAGTCTGAGCACCGAAACTTTAAAGGGAACATGGGACACTGCAAGTCTGAGGGCAAAGGCTTTAAGAGAGATTAAAGAAAACATGGGACAGAGTGAGTCTAAGGCAAGAGACATTAAAGAATAGAAAAGAAGCATGGTTTTAAAGAAAGACTTTAGAAGTAAGGTCTTAAAGAATAAGAGAAAAGAAGCAGAAAAGAAGAGGATATTAGAGAAAAAGAAGTAATGAGGCTGTTGTGCATCTCCATCTGAGTGCCAGCACACCTGGCCCCAACTTTCTGTATGTCTGTCTTCTATCATTTGTCCTTTCTGAGTCTCCCACTGCCCCCAGTTAGGTCAGGTAGAACCAAGAGCATGAAAAAGCTCTCTACAGTAGGGACACAAAGAAATATTTGTAAACCCATGTATACTATTAATCACAATAGTCAAAAGATAAAAGGAATTCAAGTGGCCATGGATGAATGAATGGATAAAGAAAATGAGGTATATACATGCAATGGGATATTTAGACTTTTTAAAAAATGAAAGAAATTCTGACACATGCTACAACATCTAAAAACATGTATAGCTATTATGCTGAGTGAAATAAGACAGTCACAGACAAAGGCTGTATGTTTCCACTCATATGAAGGAATCAGAATAGTGAAACTCAGAAACAGAAAGTAGAATGACAGATACGGGGACCAGGAAGTTACTGTTTAATGGTTTGATTTATAGTTTAGTGGGTACACAGATTTAGATTTGAAGGGTAAAGAAGTTCTCATATCCAAGTACTAACCAGGCCTGACCCTGCTTAGCTTCCAAGATCAGACAACATTAGGCACATTCAGGGTGGTATGGCTATAGATGTAAAAGAAGTTCTACTGATGAATGGTGGGGAAGTATATTCACAATGTGAATATACTTATTGCTACTAAAGTATACATCTAAGAATAAAATGTTGTTTTCTTATGTGTATTTTACAATTAAAAACAAACAAATGCAGCAAGATAAAAGACAAACTCAATGAAATTGATAATTACATTAAATGTAAATTAAGCCAATAGAGAGACACTGAAATACACAAAATAGCACAATCCAACTATATGCTATACACAGGAAACATACTTTGTGGATCTATAGACACAGATTATAAGTAAAAGGAAAGAAAAACATACAACTAATCCTAAGAAAGAGAGAGAATATTAAAAGAGGTAAAGAAGGAAACATCATAATAATAAAAGGGTCTATTCACCAAGAAGATATATCAATCTTAAATGTGTACAGGCCTTTAAAACATATGACAATAGAACTGACGGAGCCTCTCTCCCTCCCTCCTTTCCTTCCTTCCTAGTTTAGCAAAGGTTAATTTAGTAAAACAGGGAAAACCAGGAGAAAATAGAAAGGGAGAAAGGGACACCCTGTCATTCACGGAGTGGGAGCAGAGAGGCTCTTTGTTTTCTTGATGATAGTTATTCAGATTGTAGAAAGGTGTACTACTCTCAGTGTTTTGATTTGTACTTCCATGATGGCTAAAGGTGCTGAACTTTTAAAGATGTACTTATTAGCTATTTGTATTTCTTTAGAGAACTGTCTGTTCAATTAATTTGCCCATTTTTTGATTGGATCACATGTTCTTATGCTGTTTAACTTTTGGAGATTTTTATACATTCTGGATATTAATCCCTAACAAATGCATAGCTGGCAAAGAGTTTTTCTTATTTTGTAGGTTTCTCTTCACTCTGGTAGTTGATTCCTTTGCTGTGCAGAGGCTTTTAAATTTATTGCAATCCTATTTGTCAACCATTTGTTAATTCTTGCTACTAATTCCTGAGCTAATGGAGTCCCATTCAGAAATCTATTACCTATGACTATATCTTGAAAGGTTTTCCCCTAGTAGTTTCAATGTTATAGGTCTTATATTAAGAGAATCGAATGACTGTAGCTGAGAGGGTTCATTTCTAGGACTTCCATTCTATTCCATTTGTCTACATGTCTGTTTCGTGCCAGTACCATGCTGTTTTTGCTACTAGGCTCTGTAGTATAATTTGAAGTTGATTATTGTGGTATCTCCAGCATTGCTCTTTTTGCTCAGGATTGTTATGGTAATTCAGGGCTTTTTGTACTTCCATATAAATTTTATGAGTTTTTTCTATTTCTGTGAAGAATATCATTGGAGTTTTGATGCACTTATAAATATTCTTGAGCTTTGTCTTAAGTTATAGTTATTTAGACAGAATTTGATCCTCTCAGGACTTGCTCTTAAGCTTTGGTAGGTAGAACCAAAGGTTCATTTTACCACACTATAAAACAAAACTTACCTGGATATTCTATCCAATATCCTGCTAACGGGAACAGGATGAGTTACTGGCCTTGTATATGCTCTAGGTATACTCCTTATAACTTTTTTTCAGAGTTACTGTTTTAGCTTCAGAATTTACTGATGTACATACCCTGACCATTATTCAGTTAACTATTTGAATAAAGTCCTCTAAAGATCTTTGGAATATTTTGTGAAGGTTTCTCCTTTCTAACATTCTGACTTGTAAACTCTAGCCACCCTAGCCTTCTAAATTCCTAGCTCTGTCTTTATCTCTCCTGCTGTCTGTTATTCCCCACCTGAGCAGTGACCTGGCAATTTACTTCTAAGAAGTAAGAGGAAGCAATTATGGGGTCATCTTACTTATTTCTGACCTCAGGATCTCACAAATGCTAGGCAAACACTCTACCACAGAGCATACTGCAGAGTGACAACCTGCTTGTTGACTGAAGATATCTACTAGCATCCAAGTAGTAGTGACAAGCAGACCATTGGATTACTTCTTCTTGAGTCTAGAGCTCATGAAGATACTAAGGAGCCAGAAACATTTATGAGAAGTGAGAAAGGACAGAATTAAAAGCTACTGCACTCAATGAAACCATTTAAGAAGTGTCAAGAATTTATGACTTATGTATTGTATCTGGCCTCAATAAGTTTTTTTTAATAAGTCTTATGAGTAAAATTTTCGTAAGTAAAGTTTTATTTGAACACAGCCATGCTCATGCTGCTAAGGCTGTTTCTACAATATAACAGTAGAGTTGAATACTCACAACAGACATATCTAACATCTAAAATATTTACCCTGTGGCTCTTTACAGAAAAACATTTCAAGGAAAAGACTGTCACTTATCTACAGAATGAACATAGATTAGAGAACATTAGAGGAATGAATTCTGCAGCACTCCCAAATTTTGAAGTCAAACAGAAAGTACTAAAGCAGCAAAAAACACCAGGAGACTAATTTTTCTGAGAGAAAGCAAAACAAAAAAACAGTATCTCAAGAAGAAGGAATCTCACTGGTGCTGAAAGATGAAGACCAATAAATGAACCACGTAAATTTAGTAAAATGGTCACTTGTAATTTTAGTGAAATTGTTGTCCTCTTTGAAAGCCAATTAACGAAGGTTCAGAAACGAGCATGTTGTGAAGCAGAGGTATGAAGGATGGTAGTTAGAGGCCAGCCAGGACAAAAAGTTAGCAAGACTCCATCCTAATCAATAAGTCAGGCATGGTAGTATGCACCTGTCATCCCAGCTACATGGGAGGACAAAGGTAGGAAAAGCGTGAGCCGAGGACAGCCCTAATGAAAAAAGTAACCTAAAAACAAAAAGGGCCGAATGTTTGGCTCAAATGCAAGGCCCTGAGTTCAAATTCTAGCACCACAAAAAAAGCAACCAAGATGTGAAACGTAGATAAGAGACAATGAGTCAGTTGTGAAGATTGTTAATTTAGAAAGGGGGGGAGAGGGAGATGGAAGGAGGAGAAATGGGAACAATCACATGCAGTTTAGGGAGGTTTTTTTCCTTTTATCTCTTTTTGTATAAGAGATTTTTTTGGTACTTGGGTTCAAACCCAGGGCTGTGCAAAGCATGTATGTGCTCTATACTGAGATATACCCAGCCCGGGAGCACATTTTCATGCGAATGAACATGGCCTAACAGGTAATGCTGATGGCGAAGTACAGAATGGAACTGTGAGAGATGGTGAAGGAACAGGGGAGAAAATGAAAGAAAGGCTGCCAGTGGATTCCCCAGCTGAAACTAGTGGAATGGGTGCTACCACGGTCTTTTGTTACCCCTAAGTGATTGAATGGCCTGGCTGGATGGTTGCTGCAGCCACAGTAAAAGCAGAGAAGTATTTCCAGGATTGTTATACGTTACATTTCATTAAAAAATGCTTTGAGAAACTGAGATTTCCATTCCAATACAAAAGGGTTCACATAATCTATGGTATATAATGGATTATGGTCCTTAATGCATACAATGGATAACAACCCTTAGCATAGACAAGTTATAATATAACTATTAATACAATTATATTTAGGTCAGAGTTCAGCTACATTAGTAGGTTCAAAAGACTCAGATACCTAAGAACTAAAATAATCCTTTCCATGTCTGTATTAATAGGAAATGTGTTTCAAGATTCCTAACTAAAAATTATACAGACATATGAATAAAAGAAAAAAAATTGTACAGAAGCCTTTTGGAACTTAAGTTTTCAATTAAGGATAGTTAACTCACCAATCTTCATTAGCTAAAAGCCTTAAGGCTTCTGTCAGTGCTATGTCTGGTTTGGAAAATGGCCGTAGTTCCAACGAGTCCATTATTTCTGGACTATGAGTGACAGAAGGCATCCTTTCTTTATACTGTGGAATGACTCCAGGAGCTGCTTCACCTAAAACAAAACATACTAAAGAAAGCATGAGAGATCCTTGATATGAAAAAGTATAAATGATATTCCAACTAAGGATGTCATGAACATTTCTTAGAGAAACTGGTAGTGCTAGTTTACTCTTTAAGAAAAATGTATTGCCCAGAAATCAAAGCTACTGTACATTTTATATTCAGATTTTTCAAAAATTCCATTTAATATAAATATGTAAATAGGTTTTCCAGTCATGAGTCATAAAGAATCTAGGTTTAAGAGCAAAAAGAATCAATATGATCTATTTTGTAAAAACATGTAGATATATACCTTTTTCACCATATACCTGACAGTTAAAAATAAAGGTACAGACATCTATATAAAGAACTCTAGCTGATTCTCTCTATTGGTGTAGTATTAATGGTTTGTTACAAATCCTAAGACTACGTGTAGAAATATGGACGAATTTCTTCTATAATCAGACATTTACCAAGCATTTTTTAGACATAAAATACTGTCCCAGATATTGGGGAAACAAATCATTGTCCTTTAGTGCTCAAGTTAATGCCCTGAGAGCACTGCACAATATAAGACTTGTGCAGTACAGATGTTAGAAAGGAAAAGATCAGATAGAATGAGAATGGGCTTTTTAAGTGGGTAGAGATCTATTGCTTCTTCTTCCACATTGGAATTTTATTTGTTTGTTTATGTATGTATGTATGTATGTATGTATGTATGTATGTATGCTTGTGATAATGGGGATTGAACTCAGGGCCTCAGACCAGTGCTCTATTACTTAAGCCATGCCCTCAGACCTTTTTTTTGCAGTACTGGGGCTTGAACTCAGAGCCTAAACTTAAACCATTCTCCACCAACCCTTTTTTGTGTTTTTTTTTTTTTTTTTGAGATAGGGTCTCATGAATTATTTGCCTGGACTGACTTTGAACTGTGATCCTCCTGATCTCTGCTTCCTGAGTAGCTAAGATTATAGGTGTGAGCCACCAGCACCTAGCTACATTAGTATGTTTTTAGATAGGGTCTCACACTTTTGCCCAGGCTGACCTTGGATTGCAATATGCCTATCTTTGTCTTCCCAGTAGCTGGGATTACAGGTATGCACCACCACACATAACCCCTCATCTATTTTTTTCAGGTAGGGTCTCCCATTAACTTTGCCTGGACTACCATCGAATTATGATCCTCCTATCCCTACCATCTAAGAAGCTGGGATTACAGATGTATACCACCATGCTCAGCCACATGTTGAGATTTTTTTAAAAAGGAAATATTAGGCAGCAGAAAATGGCTATCATAAAAGAGTATCAATCATACTGTTTGTGAGAAAATGTTGAAATCATGTGAAATCACAAATGTAAGAAATTTCTTTTGATGTTCTATAATACTAATTACATATTCAAATGCTTCTAGCATTCATTTTGAATGCAAGGGCGATAAGGTATTAACAATACTAGTTGATATAAATTTATACTTCATGTCAGATCTTCTGACAAATGTTTTACAAACTTTACTGCATAAAATAATCTCAACAAAGGAGGACACGCTTCTTTATTTTGCAGCTGAGTTTTTTGAGACTGAGAACTTTAGTTGGGGCCCTAATGTTAAGGAGTGGAAACAGTAGGACTTAGATCTATTGCCACCTATGATTTTATGTACAGAGGCCTAAGAGAATCTGCATTTAAAATAGTGATCTTGAGACTGCTTCACGCAGCGTGCCTGCACTGTTGCCAGAGCAGCCATCTTCAGGAAGGGAAAGGCAGAGCCATCTTGGATTCTACACCTTGCGGTTCTCTGGACTTCTTCAAAGCTGTCATTTAAAATTCCACCCTAACCTCAAATGGAGTGTGGTTTTTCCTTAAAGATAATTATTTCTTGTTGAAGAATGAAAGAGCAAAAGAAAATCTTGCTCTTTTCTACAAGGAGATGGAATCTCTCAAAAGAATCGATGATACCACATCAAGAACCAGTAATAATTCCCTAGTTGTGGAAATCATTGCACTGGCAGGGCACCTCTCTTGAGACAGATCTTTTCCCACATCTTTTTATTATAATTAAATTCATTGTGATGGAGAGATCCAAGATGGTGACTAGGGTGCAGAACCAGAAAGTGTGAGCTCTGTGACTCCAAAACCTTGCTGAGATGCTGAAGCCACACATGGTGGAAATAAAACACCAAGGAGAATCAAAACTTCGACACCCTGACCCCCTAGACCAAGAAAGCTTCTCCACGCCACATTACAGTGAGAAAAAAGGTGGGCTGTCATGGCTGTTGCCACTGCCGCCACTGGCTCCAAACATGCCTGGGAGACATTCGGCAGACCAAATAGGTGAGCACCTAGCATCACGTGGTATTCCCCTGCTGCCCTGGGATAAACCAGCATAGCTCCTTGGGCAGCAAAAAAAAAAGAAAAAAACTGAACAATTATCAACAAGCTGAAAACTAGCACACTTCAGATGGGGTGGGAATGCTGACAGTGCACTGGAGAAGGAGGGAAGGCAAGGAGCTAATCTCTGAACGTACTATCAGTAAACAAACAGCTGGAAAGGTGGGAAGGGCGATAACAGGCGGGTGATAAGTTACTGCATGAAGCACAGCAGCTAGCAGACCACAAAACTCATCTCCTGAGCCAGTGAACAACACCCAAAGTCAAACAGCTCTGCAAAATTGAAAAACAAACAGCAAACTATCATAACATGCTGACAGCATGACCCTGCCCCAGAGAAAGGGAGTGAGGCAAAGAAACAAGCTCCCAGTAAACAATCACAGCAAAAAGCCACCTCCAAGTCCTCTGTAGCTGGTGGACTACAGATCTGATTTCCTGAACCTGAGGACAGAATGCAAACTTAAAACTACCACACCTCACTGACGGAGGAGCTGACCAAGCAGCTGCTGTTGAAAGACAAAGAAAAAACACCACCCACAAGCCTACCACCTGGTAAGACTACAACAGACCTTCTTCAGTCCTTAAATACCAACACCAGGACTGGATGCTGAAGGAGTAACACCAGAACTACTAAGACTGAAACTCTGTTGTTCCCGAACCTGGAATTTTTTTGTATGTTTGTTTGTTTGTTTTGTTTCCTGTTTGTTTGTGTGTGTGTGTTTGTCCATCATTTCCTGTTGATTTCTTTGGTTTTTTTGTTTTGTTTTGCTAGTTTTACTATTGAGTTAGGTAATATTAAATTACACTCAGACCAAGGACAGAAATAGCACACCTACACTAACCTAAAACCCAACACACCCACAAAACAAAATTAAACCAAGGGAAAGAAAACAGGTGACTGAAACCACCAATAGCCTATCAAGAACATAGTTACACAGTACCAAGTAGAGTGATGGGAAGACGAAAAAGGGATGGAAACCATCTTACCCCCCCAAAATAATTTAATACAGGATTCAGAGGAAAATGAAGGAAATGGATACCCAGTTCCAGACTCCAACAAAACAAAGATAAACAATGCCAAGGAACCCAACAAAGCCCACAAGAACATTCTGAAAGAAGAAATCCTGCAAGTAATCACTGAGAATTTCAAGGAAATGTTACTAGACATGGTCAACAAAAACATATAAGAGGCACTCAAGAAATTCCAAGACAACAAAAATAAAGAATATGAGAAGACCCAGAAAAAAATAAATGAACTCATAGGCGCCCTAAATAAACACCAAACTGAAATAGAGAACACTATAAATAGAAAGATAAATGAATTAAAGATGAAAATTGACAATATTAAAGAAGAAGTGACCATGATATGGAAAACCTCAGAAAAAATAATGAAACAGGAATACAAAACACAATGGAAGGCCACTCCAGCAGACCAGAACAAGCAGAAGACAGAATCTCAGAACTGGTAGATAAAATGGAAATTAAAGGAAAAACTGAAGCGCTATAGGTCAAACAACTCAAGAACTGTGAAAGGAATATGCAAGAACTCACCGACTCCATCAAAAGACCAAACCTGAGAATCATGGGCACTGAAGAAGAAGAGGTGCAAGCAAAAGGAATTCGTAATATATTCAACAAAATAATAACAGAAAATTTCCAAAATCTAGAGAAAGCTATGCTCATTCAAGTACAGGAAGACAGTAGGACACCAAACAGACTTGACCAAACTAGAACTACCCCACAACATATTATCATTAAAACAACAAGCACAGAGACTAGAAAAAAATATTGAAGGCTGTAAGAGAGAAGAAACAAATAACATACAAAAATAAACCCATCAATATCACAGATTTCTCAACAGAAACCTTAAAAGCAAGAAGAGCATGGAGTAAGGTGTTCCGGGCACTGAATGAAAATAACTTCAACCCTAGGATACTCTACCCAGCAAAACCATCATTCAAAATAGATGGCACAATAAAAGTCTTCCATGGAAAGCAAAAACTAAAACAATATATGACCACCAAGCCAACACTACAAAAGATTCGTCAAGGAATTCTGCACACAGAAAATGAAAGCAAATAAAACCATGTGAGGACAGGCAGTACCAAACCCCAGAAGAAGAAAAGACAAGGAATCAGAGAGTAACATTAATTCAGCTGTGCACAATCAAACCCTTAAACACCAAAAACAGCTAAGTGACAGGAATCACCACATACCTATCAATACTAACGCTGAATGTTAACGGACTTAACTTTCCCATCAAAAGACACCATTTGGCAAACTGGATTAAAAAGGAAGATCCAACAATGCTGCCTATAGGAGACACATCTCATTGACAGAAACAAGCACTAGCTTACGGTGAAAGGCTGGAAGAAGATTTACCAAGCCAATGATCCCTGAAAATAGGCAGGAGTAGCAATACTTACCTCGGACAAAGTAGACTTCAAATTTACATTGATTAAATGAGATAAAGAAGGACACCCCATACTAATAAAAGGGAAAATACACCAAAAGGAAATAACAATTATCAACTTGTATATACCTAACGTCAGTGCACCCAATTTCATCAAACATACTCTGAAGGACCTAAAAGCATACATAGACTCCAACACAGTGATAGTGGGAGACTTTAATACCCCTCTA